GAACTATTTGTCTCATGTTGTCCTATATCAATCGACGGCTCGCTCGAACAACCGCCACTGATAACCTTTTGCAGTATAGTAATAAGAGCTTCCTCAGACCTCCAATTACAATCAGGGCGTACGCCGGGCATCCTCAGCGAAGAGGTCGTATTGGTCGCGGGGAAGGGGTCGTAGTTGGTTTTGAGAAAAGGGTTCTTGGCTGCTGATTTTTCTCGCATTCTCGTTCAAGGTAAACCATCCACCCCTCCCACCCAAGGTAGTGTTTGTTGGGGAACAGGGGCATTTTTCCGGAAAAGAGGTGGACAGGTAGGGAGTGGTTCAGGAACACGGTAAATGCCAAGGGAAATGCGAGGACCGGCGTAACAGTGGTCATTTCGAGGGGGGGGGGTCGTACTTTCAAAAATTTCCCCGACGGGAGATCATGCCCTGTTTACGAGTAGGTGGTTCCCTTCCATATCTGCTGGGAATGGAATTGGATGAAAAAGAAAGAAATACCGCACGTGACTCCAGCCGGCAGTTTTGGGGCTATTGCTCGACCTTTGGAGGCTTGAGAAACGGTTACGAAGAAGACTTCATTATTACTAGCATAGTGGAATATATTCACAAAAATAAATTAATAAGTTGTAATTATTCAATTGCAAACTGCAATTATTCAATTGCAAATAACTATAAAAAGATAGATAGACTGGTTAAAGGTACTCTCAATGGCAGCGGTGTTCAACACTAATTCTCATTTTATCTCTTCAGTTTGTTCTTTTAACCTTTTGTAATTCGTTCAACAGTGTCATATACCTGATATTCCCTCACTTGGTATGACCTAATAGGTACAATAAAATTTTTTTCTTTACAAGTATTTTTTACACATTTTACGTCATGTCCTTCTATAATCTTTCTGTCTCTTTCCTCTTGACTCATTTTTATTGCATTAATTTTGCATATGCACCTGTCTTATAACTTCCCTCATTTTATCCTTTTTCTCAACTCCTTACCCTGTGTAGTCCGTGTCCTTGTTTCATCGACCCTGCAGTACTGATGAGCTTGGGGATTGGCAAGACAATGTTGATTCTTCTAAGGTAACAAATGAAACGGATCATCTGTGTTTGGAGGTTTTCCTTTTCCAATATTCTGTTTTTTTTTCTTCTAACTGGATCTACTTTAAGGTCAAATGATGGAACTGGTAATGATTACTCCATGCTCACGACAAAGCTTGGTCGGCCTGTCTCTAGTGTCCGAGATTAAGACTATAGTAACATCAGATTACCTGCTCTGAATCACCGTGCTGCTGTCGCCTCGTTCTCGAAGAAATATGCCATAAGATGAATTATCCCGCGGCCTAGACACATATTTGCCAGGCGCTTTACCATTAGATTGGGGGAGATAAATAGTACTAGTGATTCAGTTTGCTTTGTTAGCCTCCCGAGATTGATATAGGCGCTTTACTATGCTGATGTTTCGGCGGAAATCGCCTTCTCCGGAGCCTGCAAAGCTCATGGTATCATGGTATTGCTTCTTTAGGATGGAACAAGGTGTAGCCTACACTGGAAGAGTTGCCTGGACAGTATCGCCCACTCAGCAAGGTATGGGCTGAAGCAGTGAAGTCGGCAAATTTGCAAAGGATTTCGGTGACCAGGTTGAAAAGCAAATTACCCATTGCCCCTGCGCTGTACGTGCCTATAAAATCCCAAAAACTCTGTACAGGAGGATACGGCCGGATCCAGAGCCAGACTTCAAGGTTAAAACGTCCATAAGCAGTGTGGGCGACCTCATGGATAGGAATCCCTGGTTCCCATGCCTCATTTTTAGGCAACTTTTTCGATTTTTCCAAGCACACTTAACAAACACTGACATATTCCTCTGAAGACTCCACGGAGCCAGGTTCTTTTTCTTCTTTAGGGTTTGTCCCGCTCTGTGGTGAGGTCCGCTCACCTTACTTTGTGACGCCACTTCTCCGGATTGCATGTCTGGTTGTGATGGGTGCCAACTATCTCAAAGTCCGCATGCAACATGCAGCTGTTTGAACTTTTCGGAACCTCAAGCTCTATACCCAGTCCTACGGACGGTGTCAGAATTCTCACGCGCACACAGTACATGACTGCACCATCGGAGGCGAGATTTGCGCATATTCGAGGCTACGGGAGCTACACAAATCTCCTGCGTATGTCTTCATTTCAGGCGCGTTCCATACGCGTTACGCCAGCCGTCCAGCACAGCATATTCATCCCATTACCTTGAACGCCACAAAGAATGGCTTCAAAGCCGCGACCAGTGTCTCTCGATTTATAATTGGACAATATTTTTTTCTGCACCGCACGGACATCTGACCGTCTACGCTCCATTGCCTCTACCAACACACAGGAGCGTCCCGACGGGGTCCTCATATTCAATGTTACGGTCTTTTCATACGATGCGGGACTATTGGACTAGGTTAGTTGCCGCAATATGCCGTCCTTGCATTAGGGACCCTCACATTTCACACACGCCGGGCCCTGCAAGAGCGCGTCGGCTCTAGCGGACACCGTAGCATTAGTTGCATTTTGTGGCATCTTTAGACGTGAGTGATTTGACATGTGCATGCCCGACACGGAGTCCTGTCACCTAGGATTTGAGGACAGCGATCAGCTTAACTCGCAGAAGCGAGCAGTCCTCAGTCTTCATGGAGGAGTGTACCACCACCTACATGGGCCGAGTTAGAAGGGGAAAATGTAATGGAGTCGCTGTGACATCGTTGCAAAGAAGGTACCCAAAAATGATGCGATGCAGGCAGTCCTCGAGGCCCTCACCGAACACCGAGCTGGACATCTCCATCGTGCAAGTAATGACATTACTCGACGAATGCCAGAAATGCTACGTATTCAAATGGCCGGTTGAATGGTACAGACAAATTAGAGGATCAGCAATGGAGCAAATATCAGCTCTTGGCCTGGCGATCATTCATGTGCGAAGTTGTGGAGCATATGTTAGAACGGAAATCGATTATGCACAGGTATATCGTAGATTAATATATGTTCGACTCAGTTAGACGTATTCTGACCCGCTAACGGGGTGAACACATAAAATTCGCGCGCGAGAAGCCGACAGAGGATTGGCTTGCCTTCCTCAACATCCAGATACCTTTCACGTAAGAGATCATGGAACTAGGTGGTACCGAAGACCTAGCTGTGAACATATCATTGTTCATTCCAGCTCGGCTCAACCCCACCCCCGAACACCAAAGGGCCTTATTAACAACGTGCTCCGAATAGCCTTTGCAGTCTCATCCAAAGACATGTGCAGAACAGATTCGATAACACTACCATAGCGTACAGCACAAGAATATGGTTATATTCACCGTGGACAGCCAACATGGCACAAAGGACTAGCTGGAGCGGAAGAGAGACAGAAAGTAGAGTAGACCAAGCACTCTAATTCTGTATCCCAATGCTTGAGTGACCAGAGCGCTGGCGCTCTACCGTCTGTGTTTGCAAAGGCGAATCCCCAGGAAGTGGTTAAATTAGCTGACACCCCTTCTCCAAAATTAAGGAGGTAGTTAGTCCGGAATCGTCTCTGACCGATTCAGTCCAACCCCCTTCTGCGTAGTCTGTCTATTTGGATGGAATGGGGATTGCATTACCGCAGGAGTCATCTACCTCATCACGTGTCCCTGTGTAGGTATGATAATACGGATGAAACGTAGAGACCACTTTACGTCAGGCAGGGAGCACGCAGATGGGTTGGAGAGGTCCAAGAAATGCACCCTCTTAGTGAACACAAGGGCCAGAAAACATCAAAATGTGGACATTGTGGCTGATGTTGCGATTCTAGCACGTGAACAGGACGTACACAAGACGCTTGAGTGTTTGTGGATTGCGGTCCTGAACCCTGGAATCAACAGCAAGGAAGTACAGAGCAACAGCGATTACTAGAGAGCCCCTCGCGGGCCTTTGTATCTTGTGATCTACGCATTTAGCACCCTCGAAGCAGGTCTACGGACAACTAGGACTCAATCCCTCAGTGGCGCCAACTTTCTCTTTTTCTCTGCGCTCTCACGTCTCCATGGCGTTTTCTGGACGCACTGATCGTTCACATTCATACTTTTCACGCAATAAGTGGCTCATCTCCCCCGGTGTCCTGTCACTTTGAAAAACAATATCCTGCGTCTCCACAAATTTTTTTCACCTATCGATGCCTCGGCGGCCGCAGTTCTTATTACTCTGCGCTCTGGCCTTTCGCAGCAGGACCCCCACCAAAATCTTTTTTGTCACGTAACCCTCGCAGCGGGCGCGACGGAAGTTGTTCGCTTTGCTATAATATCGATACCCGTAGTGGACGTGCTGCTGTTAACAGGAACCAGTATAATCTGGCTGCCTTTGGAACAATAGATCTACGTGACCAATCCTGAGGTAGGGAGGAGGGCGGGTCCTCACAATTTTTGTCAAATCGTCACAGTTTCAAGCTACAATCGCTCCCATAGGCTTGTTTTTATCCTACAACGTGTGACCGGCCTCAACAATTTCAAATGTGTCTCTTGAACTCTGTCACCTAATTATAGCGGATAACCCATCCTTTGCGTGTAACTCCAAGCTCTCTGACCGAATCCTCGGATTTTCAGAAGGTAGATAAAACGCGTAGTACGTCTTTAGGCCCCCGAGCGTCCGGTAGAGTCTACACAAGAAGGATACTGGTTTTATGACATTGTTCTACGATCTCCTAACCTCTGTTTTCTTGCTGTGATTTGAAATGGTTCTTGGACGAGTTTCTTCGGTGGTCTGCTTCGAACGTCGAAGAAGGCGTTTGCACCGAAACCTCAGCATAATAAAGCGTCCGTATCGATTTCGGGGGGCAAGACGGAGGCGGGGGGGGGGGTAATAAAGCATACTGTAATACGACGAGATCAATCGAAAGCCAATCATGGGAGATAGATAGCTGTTGCGCCTTCCTTATTGGTAAGCTCCTCCCCAAATGAGATCAACAGGAAGGGGCTCCAGGTGATTCCATACCCCCTCCCACATGAACATGGTAGAATGAGACTTTCACTCAATTGCGCAAGGTACTTATCATACCCAATTTTAGACTGGTTTTTGTGTGCACTGTGCTAGGAGAAATGGCTTCTTCTCTGCGATCACCGATGGTCAGCTCAACAGTCGCGTTCCTTATGAAGACAGCAATGGAGAAATACATCCTACTGATCCAGTCATCAACAACCTTCAGCAGGTGAGGTGTGCTCACGAGCGGTCCACTGAATTCAATCCTTATGTCGCTGTTAACTTCACTTTTAATAGCCTCTCAGGAGAACAGCTATAGGTAGGTATAGGCGTCGCGAGCTAAGCTAAAAATGAAGAGATTACGTGGCATCCGACAAAAATTACTCTCTTGGATACCTCACAGCAACCGTTGGTTTCAGGACAAATACGCAATTGACAGCCGACCAATGTTCAGTTCGACGGCCTCACAACCAATGCAAAATCCACAACGAATGCGACAAAGCGTAGGTTATCGTTTCAGCTCTTTTCGGCACGAAACTATTTTCAATTCCGATCGATAATCGTGCCGTTTGCGCATGTCAGTATAACAATCCTGAAGTGAAATTATGGAGAAAAGTGTTTGAGTACCTTAACAGAAATTTGAGAACGGTGTGACAAATCGATAGATTGCTTGGAGTTCATCAATGTACGCACCACGTATTTGATTTTCATTAATCGTCATGGAAACCTACGTTTTCTTTTTTTAAACAAGTCTCATACCAACATGTAATCATCAAAGCAGAGGAAAGCTTGCTGAGGCTAAATTTGGGTTTAAGACAGAACAAGTTAAATAAGGCTCTTTGCCGTTGGTCTCCAACCCGCAGAAACGTGTTTAACTTGTAGTAGCGTTAGGTGATCAGCCTCACGGGCCCACTAATTTTCTTGCTTTGGTGTTGCTTCCGTATCAAGACCAAAAGGCAGAGGTGGCTTGTCAGCGCGGGTGGATTTCTAGGTAAACCACAAGCCACCTCTGTCATTTGCTATTGATGGAAGCACTGAGCGGTACGTACTTTTTCCGGCGAGCTTCCAGCAGAATGTATCTCCTTTAACGCTCCGCCCTGACTTTGGCCCTCTCAGCCAGCAAGTCTGAAAAGAAGTGCAGCACTTTTTCGGATAATCGGATAACGCTACAACCAGTCAATTAGAAACGGACGGATTACAGTTCCAATCCCTTATTAAACTTAAGATACACTGCTTCGATGTCATAAGCAGTAACTATGACCGGTTCTTTTATACCTTCCTTCCTTCGTTCGTTGAGGAAGTGCTGAAGGGAAACTCTCCGTTGCGTTTTTTTTGGTGGACCTTTATTCAATCACTAGTCAGATCAACCTCTTTTTTTGTAACACCAATTCTTTCAGGAGGATACCGGCCCACCGTGGGCTGTTCAACATCCGCAACCCCGTTCTGGTATTCGACGCTCCTCTCTGTGGTTTGGAGGGGAGGCGGAGCAGGTACTGCTTTCTCGAATTGGGGCAAAATATAGCAGCTATAATTGTTACTGATATTCTCCCAGAAAAGAAAGCTCCCTGCCAAAGTTGAAAATAAGAGGACAGCGCACCAGCAATTTGCTGAAGACGTATTAAGTGCTTTAGTTGCAAGCGATACTCCGGAAGTCCCGAGATTTCTAGTTCGGAAGAGATCCGTGCTACTAAATTCGTTCACTTCTCAAATCAGCGTTTCAAAGTCTTCACTTTTTCCGATCTGGTACACAATAAAGCAGACCGAGAACCATGATAGTGATCGGCACTTTAACTAGTTCAGTGTTGGGGGGTACGAGTCGTATCGCGCAGCGGATATCCGCCATGCTGAAGGGTGTGCTGCCGTTTTCGTACGCATAACGCCTACATGTGAGCGCTCTCGTGAACAAGCTTCATGATGAAGTTATGAGTAAAAAGCGATTTCCGTTTCCTCTGTATATGCCGGTTTCTAGGCAGTGAAACTGGCCTCACAAATAGCGGTAAGGAAATGAGTTACGCACAAAAAGAAAAAAACTTGGAGTAAGTCACAGGGTCGCCTTTCCTTATAGTCTAGAAGTGATTTCGATCTTCAAATCTGTTAATGAGCAAAAAATTAGCAGGTATTTCCTGGAACTTACGTTCAGAAATAAAATATCGTGGAGAAATTGAAGGGAACTCTATAAAATTTATGAAGAACTGTTGCCCTGCTCCAAGTTTTTTTCCAGCTATTTCCTATGCCACTTCACCGCTAGATTTAGTGGGATTGAGAAGTTCAAGCCGCAGCTGCACACTTGATAAATTATTTTTGACCATTTGAGTATTACAAAAAGTGCTATAGTACAGTAATGATATAAAGTATGACTTTATTCGTAGCTCTCAAGAAGTGCTTTGAAGGTGACCGGAAATCGGCAACTGCCAGTTAATCCAACTGAACGAACAACGTCTCTTGCTCCTTATACTGCTGCTGCGACCAGCCTACCGAACCTAAATAGAAAGTAAGTGCTTCGAACTCGAGAAAATTATAATATTCATCCAGTACTTGTTTCGTATTTCTCAATAGCTTCAATATGAGTTAATTTTATGCTTTAGGCCCTTATCAAATGCCGAGCAGCACAAACTTGAGCTTTTACAACAGATCGAAGAGAACAAGCGACGACGACAGCTCGAACTTGAGAAAGAAAGGATGGAGGAACAGAAGGAAATGGAGAGGTTGAACAATCCTCGATCTTGGCTACATTTCAGCATCAGCTTAACTGTTGTCATTAAGACTCGAGCGGTACAATGAGAAAGTAAGGAAAGAGAAGGAAGAGGAAGAAAGGAAGCTACGAGAAAGAGCAAGGCTAGCTGAAAAGCGTGCTGAGCAAATGTATGAAAGTCGTCCCAAACCTCAGCGTATGAGGTCACCGCCTCCACCGCGCAAAGGTAATTAACAAGAAGATGAAGTGGCTTAGGAAACTGAGCAGCATGTCTCAGCAACGTACAACTAATTTCGTCATTAACTCATCACGATTAGTGTTAACTCTTAAGGTTCAAAGGTTGCGCTGAGCCTCGAAGAAAGCTGATCGTTACCGAGGACATTCATCTATCCCGGCCCACTCTGCTACCTTTTCCAAGAGAGAAAATCAACATATCCCAACCTCCACGTGGGTCCAAGTCCCTGGGGAAAAAAGTTGTCGATGCAGAGGTGGAGATGAATGTGGAGGTATAGCACATGAAAATCACCTAAGTATTGGTATTCCAACAACTTGACACCTTTTCGCTTAATAAACCTTTAGGACCACCACCCCTTTCCACTCACATGAAGCCTCTTCGTTGAGCAACACCCAGCCATGTCTCGGCTATAAACGACTATGTAGCCGGTTTTCAACAGGTTTTCTCTGAGGAGGGTAATCAGTGCCAAACAGCTAGGGGTAGCCTTTGAGAGATACTTCAAGAGGCATATACGCAAATTAAGGCGCAAACAACGAGTGAGCCTTTAGACTGCTTTTTGTGCAAAGCAGGAATTCCTTCATACGAATAGAATTATTGTTCTTGGATGTATCACCTGGGTATATGGCGTTACTTCCGTGTCGCATCATAGCCTTTACAGCTGGCTGACGTGCGAGAAACGGAGGCAGAGAGAGTCCATCGGCGGCAACGCTCTCACATTGAGTGGGGTTGGGTCCTTGCGCGTACGCTGCTCACACAACCCCGCACGCAATGCCTTGCCTTCATCGAGCTAGCCGCGACTCGAAAGTAATGCCATACACCCGGTTCACCATCCCAGAGTTCCTTTCCCCTTTAGGTGTGGACGTGATTCCTTGCTTCCATGTCAGTAATTCTGTTCTGGCGGAAGGCCTCTTCTAAATGCCCTTATAAGGATTAGCTCATAAGTAAAATATAAATCGAAGCTTTATAGAGCTTGTCAAGACGATTGCTAGAGCCTTGAGTCTTGTCTTTGTATACCTATCAGGTTGTTTAACAGGAGTACTTGCGGGCTGGTCGGCCTCAGTCATGGTTCTCGCCCAGTATCAAATTCCTCTGAGGTTTACAAGCGTTTTCAGAGCATGTTTCTCCTACGCCGTCTGAAACACCGGCATTAGAATGGTGGGAGAAGAAACCTTCGTGGCAGCAGAAGGTGAATCAGCAGCAATTTGAGCAATTTGTTAAAAATTAAGTTAAGAGTCAGGAGTTTTGTTAACAAATTTGTTATACCTGGCACAATGAAACGAATAGAGAAGTATAAGTTTAGGCAGAAGATGAGCGCGTCATTCCAGCGTTAGGAGGGAAACCACCACGAACGCCAAGTCGTCGTGCTTCATCGAGGTTGATCCTTGCGATATTTTTCTTTCGCTTGACCTTAAAGTATAAAACATTTGAGACCAGTTTCAGGCGCGCTTCAGCTCTCTATGATCCTGCCGCTTCAGTGGAAAATCACCAATCTCGTGAAGGTTCCAGTATGTCGCATAGGAGCGAAGAAAGGTCAAGACCTGCCTCTGTTGCGAGACAAGCAGATTCACGTGTTTCTCATCACAACGATGAAAGGCCGCCGTCCATCGCAAGGAGAGCGCCTTCAAGATCGTCCAGAAGAGCAAGCAGACAGGACACTCAGGTCTGTACTCAGCTACCAACGGCCAAACCTAAAAGTGTACTCGATAAAAAAATGCACTATTCAACAAGGATTGGGCGATTGTAAGTAGAAGACGGTCAGGAAAAAATGAGTCTATAGGAAAAAGAATACATTTTCACAATTGAGCAGAAAATGCTACAGGTGCCGGATAGTGCTTATAGGACAAGTGACATCGTGAAACTGGTAGCTGATTCATTGTAAGCTGAAAATAATGATTGAGAAGGGAGTCAAATACGTGGTGCGTACCAGAAAAGATAACAAACACCGTGCAGTTCGTCATAGTTATCCAAGTTCGACAATAATTATCGAGCTTAACAGCCGAATTTTGTACTTTTTGCGTTGACTTTTGCAGTAGCACTTACTGAAGTGTTGAACCCGTTTGCCCTCAAAGACATCTCTAAGCTCACAGTATAAGAGAAATCGTTGAACTTACAAGTATGATTTAAAATGATTAAATCATACATTGAAAACACTGCTTCGGGAAATACTCTAGTAAACGATAGCTCAAGTGAATATTAAAAACGAAAATCGATTCCGCTAAAGAGTTCAGTTCAAAGCGGCCAACAGGCAACCGCGAACATAGGACCTCTTCCTGCACTTACAGATTGGACATTTCCTCTCTCCCCTCTGAGATAGATTCCATATCTAGCGAGTGAGGAGGGCGTCACCTCGTAAATAATTTTAACGTGGAGGTCGGTGCGCTTCTGGTAGAACACCCCGTTCTAGGACAGTTATAAACATATCTTTTAACAGCACAAGGCTGGATGACCACTTTGTCATATGGAAATATCCCACGAGAAAAGCATGCCACTTCACGTTCAAAAGAAGCACGCAGCCACGCCCTCTCCATCTTCGGGGAACAGTGGAAAATGATGGAAAAAGACCCGCGGGACAGTCATCTAGGGAGGGTTTCTGGTGCAGTTCGGGGACGGATAGGCATTTAGCACTTTTGGCCCCATCGACGTGTCTAGCCATTGAGAGAATATTACGAAAGTTGACAGGTTTCATCATGGTGGCTGGACGAGCTTGCTCAGCTACGCAAGAGTTCACAGGTTTCACCAGAGTGAGGCTTCCATACCGAACTAGTGAAACTGCGAAAGTGCAAAGTGCCCCCCCGTTGCCGAACAGCGCCGGGTTCCCTTCAAGACAAACTGTACACTCACCTCCGCGGATCCTGGTCCTTGTAGTGTGTGGGCAGAATGAGCGTACCTGCAGTACCGTGCCCCTTTTTCTCCGCTTAAAAGTGCATGGGAACGACACTGTGCCGTCCTCGCACTCCGAGAACGCTTCGGCCAGAGCACATAATCGCGCTGTGTTACTTGAATCTTGATTGTTCGCGCATGTTCAGAAATTGCGCGCGAGCATTCAACACGCCTTTT